TACTATATTTAGTTTTGTTATAAATTATCTTTGCATTTAAATTCTAGAGACTCCGATGCCACGCTTTAAATAATTTCTTAGCAAAATGTACCGTTGCGTTAATCTGGCAGTAAAATAAGTCATACCATATACATTTCTTTACCTGAACCCTTTTGCTTCAAATCTTTGTGTTTCCTTAGAAAATTTAATCTTGTTACGTGCTATTGTAATGCACCTTTGATCCAATTAAAATTTTGGACAAATGGCTACTGACCGTTCTCGCAAAATGACTAACGATTTTTCGATTTTTACCTATTCATTGGATAATTCGATTGAAAATATTTCAATATTTTTTGATAGAAATTATTCAATGGCAAAAAAATTTAGTTCTTATTCAACATGAAGGCATTGTTACACATTCAGAAGTTTCCAATAGATTTTTATAGTTATTGAATTATTTACATATTATTACTAATGGGTAAATTACGGCACTCAATGAATCTTCATACTCATTGCAAAAAATTTTCTTTTCTGAAGAGCGTTTTTACTTTTTGTATAGTAAAAAAGATATATGAAAATGTTTTAACTACTTGACATTTTAAAGATAGAGCCATTTAGAGCTTTTATTTTTTGCAAAACAGGTGAAATGTTAATTAATATATTATGAAATTAAAAAGGTTGGACAACAGTTAGAAAAAATTGTTATGATAAAATACACTCTACACTTTTTTTATTAAATATGAGATAATTTTACAACCGTTTCGAGGCTATAGTTTGTCTCATCATCAATGTAAATATGTATATAAATAATTTTAATTACATCAATGATTGAAGATTTTGAGGTTTAATTCACAAAAAAGTTTGTAACTTTAAAAAAAGTTTTTTTAATAGAGCGAATGGAGTAATAGAGCAAATTTTTTGGCGTATATTCATTTTCACACAGCAATTAAAACTATGAGCTGTTGTGCTGACTTTTCATATAATGTTTATTTTTACAGTTAGGCAACCCAAACGGTTGTCCTAATTCTACGTGATGAATTTATTATTACAATTTCTGTGATGTTGAAAATTTTTGCTAATGCGTCGAAATAAGATATCTACGCTATTTATTTCATCTAGCTTCATCATTCAATTAAAAAATATGAAAACTTAACAAATTTTGAATACCGACCAGGAAAAGACACACTAAGAATTATTAAGAAAACGTACAATTTAGTTTAAAACTTTAGTTTTATAATATATATATATATGAATAACTGAATCTGTCAATTCTACCTTGAATAAAAATCATTAAGATGTTTACATTATCTCTTTTGTAACATAAAACATGAATTCCAATAGACGTCTCTTTTATGATGTCAATCTAATATAGGTAAAAATCAAAAAGGCTTCGAAGTCTCACAAGGAACCGTCAGTAGCTATTTGGCTAATATGTTAATTGGATCAAAGGTACATGACAATGGTCTGTAACAAGATTAAATCGTCTAAGGATACACAACGATTTGCAACGAAAGAGTTTAGGTAAATTCTGTCCGTCGGGTAGAATAAATTTTATTGCGCAGATTTAACGGTATATTTTGCTTAGGATAGGACAGACATCAGTTTATTGATAATACAGAGACGAACTTATAATATGCACATATTAACCTACAAAGGACAATTAAAAAAATATATTAAACAAATTGTACCAAGTAATTATTATATTTTTTAAAAGTAAAAGGAAGAAATTATACAATTTACAATTTGATTATCGTTATTCTGAACCTCTTTTTTAAATTTTAATATTGGGAATTAAATTTATAATAACAAATTAGAAGTTGACTATCTTGAGTATAAATGTTGAAACAAATTAATTATTATTTTAGTCCCAGTATGTAATTTTAATCATTTTCATAAGAATATAAATGTTTTCAGAACAATATGAAAATAAATAAATTTAAATAAAAATAAATAATTATAAATTATAATAGAAACAACATGAGTGAATACAAGTGAATAAAAAAAACCAAAACAGAATTAGCAATAATCAAGAAAATAAAATGAAACAAATTAACACATCATAAATATAGAGTAGGGCGGGGCACAATTAGACATTGAGCAATCATATTGTGAAAACCAAACTAATTATATCACATCAAATAACACATATCAAACAAACAACTATCTGACTATGTTCAGTAAAACTCCTGATAATTTATCATTGTGTTTTTTTGCTGTTCTTCAAAAATTGGTTACCTGGTCCTTTTTTCCCTCCATAGGCGGTGTAAAATAAGACGGCAGAAGGTAATGGCCGATTATACATGTTTTTTCATCTACTTTCAAATATTGTTGTTAAAATATACTTGTTTTTGAGATTACGGTAGTAGGTCTTTTTACTCGCGTATCTTTAAGCCTTAAACTCTAGCCCCTATCTATATATCGTAAAATATTATAGGCCTATGAAAAGTGGTTAAAAAATCATTTAAGTTTAGAATATATGTGCCAAAATTTTATGGTTCTATCGTTTCAATTTGATGCAAAATCTGATTTTTTATTGATTAAATGTATTATATTTATGCTTTTGTATAAGATATGTATCGATTTACATGTAATAATATTTTTATAGCTGCATATGTTTAAAAAAATAATTTTATTATTTTAAAATTATTTCTAGTTTATATTTTTCGATACAAATTCAAAAAAAATCTTCTACAGTTCGTCTCTTAAACGAATGCCAGACTTTTCTGTCAGATATAGTAAAACTGTTGGATACGAATAACAAATACGGAGCAGGCAATTTTAGCTTAAGAGTAATTTCTATAGTATTGTAATCTTATTAAAAGTATAATACTGATCCGATTATTAAATAGGATCAGATCGAAGGTATACAATATAATTCCCGTTACACAACAGGCCTTTAAAATAGGCAAACCGAATTTTGATTTCACGACTTCGAATATATACAATATTTCATTTGTATCGTGATATACAAATATAATATGGTCACAATATTTTGTAGTACAAATAATTTCATTAGTAAATACGCGATAGTAAATTACATTGAATACGTCCAGTAATACTCATTAAATGGAATTTGGATTTTTTTGATGTTATCAAGAAATAAATTTGAAATAAAATAATCTTATAACTATTATAATCCTTAACAAAGGTGTACTAAAAATTTGAAGATATAATATTCTTCAAAAAATAACCTATTTTATAAACCCTGATTTTTAGAAATACCTGTTCAATTCTGACTTCTTATTATTAGTACTTATTAGGTAGTATTAAACACAAATTGCTTGAATAGTTGAAAAAAAACTGATGGCACTTTTTAGCAATTCAAAAATAATTTGATAAAACTCTTTTAATACTCGTTAATTTTTGTCGATATCGGGAACTTTATGCACATTTCTTAAATATTAAATTAGCATTGATTCCTCTTCTTTTGTAATTTATTTTTTTCTCATTTCATCAACTAATTATGAACTTATTGTTCCCGAATGCTATAAGTAGATATATTAAAAAGTTATTATATTGATTTATATAAATTATACATAGTTAAATGATATTTTCATAATATCTTTTGTTTTCTCATGAAAATATGTAGAGAAAGCAAATAAATCAAGTTTCAAATAATAAATAGCTATTGTAACAAATAAACATTATTTATTAAAATTATTAGTATTAGCTTGAAAGTTGAATCAGATATTATTTTACTGGAAAAAGTGTAGATAATCGCATCAATGAGAAGCGACGATAACAAATTTCTCGAGTATAATTATTTTATGTTCTAATAATAAGTTTCAATATTTATCTATTATTAATCATCATAATTGATATAGGTAATTTAAAAGATATAATACTAAGAAGTCACTCTAAAAATAAAGACACATAATGGAAGAATTAATTTTTAAACGATTTATGATATATTGAAATATGTTTTAAAAATGATTCTATCGGTTGACCTATTTCTTTACAATTAGCAGATGAAATGAAAATTGTTAAAAAATAAGTGGTACATGATATTGTGTCTTAAAGCAAATTGCTGGAACTTTTCGTACCAAAAACTAAAATTTTTATAAAAGCTTTAAAATTTTTATAAAAACTAAAATTTTTTGAAAACTTAAAAAATAGATTTTTGAGAATTTTCAAACTTAAAAAAAAACTTTTTTGAAAAATTAGAATTATTTTTTTTTGTTTTCAAATTTTTTGAAAAGTTGAACTTTTTTTAAAAGCAATCGCGCTGCGTAGCTGTTCTAGAGGCAAAATATCAAAGCGCGTAAGCGCCACATAGCAGTCCAACTGAAAATTGTTTACTTATTATTAAACTTTCTGTAAAATATCTAATAATTTTATGTGAATATGTCTAATGATCATTTTTGACCCCCAAATGGAATTTTTGCTTTACTTTTTTGTTAGTGGATTTCCGAAACCGCTGGGCCTACCTTTGCCAAAATCTAATCAGCACGTCTTCCCATCAATCGAATGTTTTTTAAAAAAATCGAATAAATTCTAAATTATTCAAATCAGTTGATCCGTGTTCCCGAAACGTCGACGAAAATTTGTATCCACACACACACACACACACACACACACACACACACACATACACTATGCGCCATGTATATGTGGAAATTTTGAATAACTTGAACAATTTTCAATAAATTTTTAATTTTATTATCAAAATTAAAGCCATAATTTTTTACCAGCTAGGTTCGAAAAACGTCGATCAAATGACCCTCATCTGTTAAAATTATTCAATGTTTTCATTGACCTGTACATCTAAAGTATGCCAAAATGTTTGATGTGAGTATATATGAAACTTTTCCTCTTCGAGTTTTTGGAAATTTCTATAACTTACTCTATGGGAAGATGATAATGTTTTTTATTCTGACTTGGCATCTTTCAAATAATATGAACTATATAATAAGTTTCATATGATTGTTTACAAATGTTTATCACGACGCTTTAATTGAAAATTCTATGATATTGTGTAATTATTTTTTTCTGGTTAAACGTTAACACATATAATTTTACAGAAAAGGAAGCAAGATAAAGCAGTATTTGTACAAGGTGTGTCAGTCATGTTCTAAATCAGAATTATAAAGAAGACACGTCACCACCGGCACAACCGATAACGGCTCATCAGCGCTTGTCTTCGGAACAATAAAAATCGCGGACATCAAATAAGCCGATGACATTCCGTTATCGAAAAGTAAATAATTGTTCATTCAAGGTCAGTGCGATTCAACTTTATTTTGATAAGAATTAAAGACGATAACGGAATTCCGTTTACGAGACTGCAGGCCTCCAAATCAACGACGAGCTATTTCTAGAGAACTATGGTTGTCTAAGTTGACATAATGCACATGTTGCATTTTAACTCATAATGGGATTGTTTCATCCGAGCACAAACTGACCAAAACTGACGATCTGCAACTGTTTTAATCAGTCTCTGCAATATTTTTTTATGTATTTTCTTATAAATTACAATCTGTCTAAATAGAAAGACATTGAGAATTAGATTGACAAATAACATAAAATTTTAAAAGGTAAACCCAGTGGTGTGGTTCACCTTTTATTAATGTACTAAATTATATCTTAATTAAATTTTGGTATTATAAAGAAAAAAAAAACTCAAATATATACATACAATTATAAACAAAGTACATTACACATACTACATATACACATACACGTATAATTTATATGGTAGAACAACTTATTATTATTAAAGTGTTAGATCTATTAAATGCTTTCTTTTTAGTCTTATATTATATGTGGTGTTGTTAAGACTTGCTATCAGTTTATTTGGATGATTCTGGGATAAATGACAATCAATCTTTACCTGTCATTTATCACTTTTGCAAACTATTTTGATGCAGACTGATTAATATTGTTACAGATTATCAATTTTGGTCAGTTTGTGTATAGATGGAACAAGCTCAATTACTCGCTGTAGAGAAATTGTGAACAACTTGTTTATTCATTCATTTATGTAAAATCACCTTTAAATTTTATGCATTTGTCTAAACAGTTGTTTATCAAAATTGTCAAAAAATAATATATATTTTAACAAACTTTATCTGCTTTACCATTTGAAAATTAAAGTTTTCTGTGGGCGGTAAAATTACCATTTTTCTATAATTAACTTCCCGTAGGGCAAGTTATAGTAATCGCAAAAAAATCGAAAATGAAAATTTTTGCATTTCTCGACGTTTCAAAGGTTTCTGAATATTTTGGCATACCTTAGAAAAAATGTATGTATGTGTGTGTGTGTGTGTGCGTGTGTGTATGTATGTGCGGATACAAATTTTCGTCGACGATTTCGGGAACACCGATCAACCGATTTGAATAATTCAAAAAACATTCGATTTGTATTGATAAGGAGACGTGCTGATTAGTTTTTGGCGAAAGCAGGTCTAGCCGTTCCGAAGATACGGGGCAAAAAGTGCCGAAAACGGTAAGTCAGTTTTTAAGAGAACGGAGCGTCCGATTTTAATAATTCAAAAAACATTTCACTTGTATTGACAAGATGAAAAATTGATCAAATTTTCATGAAGGCAGGTCTAGCGGTTTCGGAGATCTAATGGAAAAAGTAAAAAAAAATGCCATTCGGCGGTTAAAAATGATCATTAGACATATGCACATCAAATTATCAGATATTTTATAGAGATTTTAACAATAAGTATAAATTTGGTTTACATTCCTATGGGTTCCGTACCAATGTTTACGCGTTAGACGGCGACGCGGCGCTTACGCGCTTTGATATTTCGTCTTTATGCAGTTAAAGCAGTACGATTGCTTTGAAAAAAAGTTTAGATCTTCCAAAATATGTCCAAATAAAGAAAACATATTTAAAAAAAAAAATTAAAAAAAATTTTTTCTAAAAAAAAAATTTTTTTTTTTAAAAATGTAATTTTTTGTCCAATTTATAGTTTCTCAAATCAAATTTTCAAAAATCTTATTTTTTCGAAGTAAAATATTTTCAAAAATGTTGATCGTTTTTTAAAAAAATAATAATTTTTGGTACGGGAAGTTCCAGCAATTTGCCTTAAGGCACGATGCCTTAATTGCCTTAAGACAGAATTCCACTTACAGCTAGTTTAGATCTCAAATCATTTTCACGCACACACATGATTATAGAGATAAACTTGGTCTAATTTCTTTAAGTATAGAAAATGAACTTGGTCTCTGGAAAACGTTTAAACATTATAAATCTTGGTACCAAACCCAAAGCAATGTGAACAAAATTTGTACTCATTATAAAAGTCTCTATAAATTATCTGATAATTGGATGTGCATATGCATATTATTTTGACCACTAAATGTGATTTTTTAAATTTTTTTATTGGATCTCCGAAACTGCTGGCTTTCCCAAAAAGTTAATCAGTTTTTAATTTCGTCAATATAAATAAAATGCGTTTTAAATTATACAAATCGGACGCTCCGTTCTCTAATAAAATCAATTACCATTTTTGGCACTTTTTGCCCCGTATCTTCAAAATGGCTCAACCTGCCTCTGCCAAAAACTATTAAGCACGTCTCCTTATCAATACGGATCGAATGTTTTTGAATTATTCTAATCGGTTGACCCGTGTTCCCGAAATCGTCGACGAAAATTTGTATCCGCACACACACATATATACACAAACACATACACACATACATCTATTTTTTATACATAAGGTTTACCAAAATGTTCAGAAATAATTGAAACGTAAAGGTATATAATAAGTTTTAGTTTCGAATTTAGTGAATACTATAACTTACCCTACAAGAAGTTGAAAATCTAATATTTTTAGCATAATACATTATTAATTATTATTCAAGTCATATTGCTTTGAATTAAAAATGTTAACTAAAAATAATTATAAACTAATTTTAATTTTAATCTTTATTTCTCTCTTCCAATATATCTATAAAATTGGTTTTTAACTAAATGAACGATATAAATATACTTTATTATTATTATTATTATATTTTAAATAGTACTAGTATAGTTAATATATAATATAATGGTATAATAGTAATAGTATAGTTTTTTTAAAAATATCTAACATTGAGATTTGCAAAGCTGTTTGTAGCTATTTATATTCAACATTTTATTTGAATGTTATTGTATTGGTTTCTTTCTGATTATTTTAAAAATTTATGTTTTGTATTATGATATTTTACATTTACTTACCTTTTATTTTATCATCACATTTAATAGATTCATATCATTTGTAACAACGGCTCTTTCTTATTTTCAAAATTAGTCATATACTTCATTTATTTAGAATCTGATCTTTAATTATTACGAAAAACCTTTTGAATAATTTTGTTCTTTCAGAAATTTACTAGCTATTTAGTAACATTTCTTTGTATTTATTACACTTCGAAATGTTTTTCTGTTTCGCAATTAATTATTTCCAATTTCCTGTGTATCGGGGTGCAATTTTATAGGAAACATTCTCTGTGATGAATAGGTCAACATAACAAGGGGCGTTTTGTGTGTACACTGAATATCCCATCCCTAATAATTTATTGAATCTACCCTAATTCCAATTTGACATCTTTGGTATCAGATTTACAAACAAGTTCAGTGATGACATATATATTAGGGCCGTCTTTCACTATATCGCAAAAATGAAATATAGGAACGCATCAGTTGATGGTACAATTTCAATTCTGGTGAATATCTTTCACAAAAATATTTTCGAGATCAGTTTCTTAACATTTAATTTTATATCATATTACAATTGTGTCACGTCATCGAGTATGGATCAGGATAAGAAACAATAATATTATCAGATAAAATAAAGATAAATATTATGGTAGATTGAAGAACCTACAAAGTAGATTGATTATCAAATTATTACTTATTTGAAAATTTCAACAAGTAATTTGTAAATTTTTGCAATTTTTATTTCGCAATATTAGCATTCTAATTTTTTATTTTATGTTAAGTTATCGCATTTAATTTAACTAGGCTTCCTTGTGGCCTAGTGGTTAGTTGTTTTGGCATCACCTCGGACAACCATGTGTCAAGCAGTAGTCATATCAGTTTTTTAGATGGCAATATGTTTCCAAAAATAAATAGCTCTCGTCTTACTCAATCAAATTAAAAATTATCAGTATTAGAGAAATTCTAATAATATATCAAAGATAGGCCAGGATTTGAGTTGCCTTCTATAAAGACTAAATATTTATTTGAACTTTTGGCTAAATCTGGATAAGAGTAGAGCGAAGCTTAAAGGTCCGCAGGAAAAAAGGACCACCACCAATATCTAAAAAATAAGTAATGTTAGAAAATTTGTAACAAAAATATTTGAAAGTAGAAGGCAAAAGATATATAAACAGCCATCATCTTGATTTTTAAAATATTGCGATCAGGAGATAAACGGCGATGCTTGAAAATCCATTGTTAGTTTTTTTGATTTTGAGCACTGTTGTTTAGTTTACGAGACTTAATATATATATATATATATATATATATATATATACACAATATAAAAAAATAAATTATAATAAAAAGGTAGTAATGGACAAAATTAGTGAAATTCGTTTAAATTATTCACTTAATATAAGAGTTTTTTTTCCTAAAACATTTTAGAATAGTTAGAATTCCTGTCCATGATTACTTTTGTTTTCTATTGTTTATTACATCAATACGCATTGCTACTTCAGATTATAATGAGCAATCTAGTTTTATCCGATAATAATTGTCTTTAATTACACAAATAATAATTTGTGTGGACTAGTCATCAAGTTTTTCTTGCAATGTCATGATCAAGGTTCGATTGCAACTATTGTCTGGGTTTCACGCCTGAAATAAAGTGGTGTACTAGAGACTACCCGTGCAAAATTCATTTGCAAAACACGTGTAAGTTAAATAAATAAAAATTAATTAATAACATTTAATTTGTTTTATTTTTCAAAATGTAATTACAATCTGTTTTTAAAATACAAAAACATTTAGTAATTATTAATGACAATATGCAATAATAACATTTGAATTTTTAGAAATTTTTAAACAAATTTGTGTAACATTATTTTTTGTTATTGATTTGTAATGCAAATATGTTTTCCAATTACCACGACGGTGTTTTATAATTTTTTTGGGTAAAATGTATAAATAATTTAAGTAAAATTTACATAATCTACTTTTAATTGCAATTTTGATATGTGAGGTATGTTTGGTT